ACACTATGCCTAATTGAAAGATCACTTCCCCTAACATATTACATGATTTGCAACCCAAGAACAACCATATACTACTCTTGAAAAATAGTTTTGAAATATCTCGTTAGTCTTTTACCCTTTCTACTTGCCGGAAGGGTCTCTGTGTTGGTGAGAAAGAGAAGCTTAGACTCTTTTTATCCTTTTTGTTACCGCGTTTGTGCTTTTGTCCCTCTTTTAGTTTCCATTTTGAGAGTAAACAGTGATGCTTTCATAGTAAAATAACACACATTAAATAAATAACACGTTAAAAAGAAAAGGAGCCAAGTGGTTGTTAAGTACCCCTAAATGAAAATGGGGTTGGAGAGGTGGTCAACCTCTTTATTTTTCCTTCCCTTCTTTAATTTTTTATGTCTGCAACCCTTGATGATCTGGAATTCTTTGGGGATAAACAAAAAACTGGAACTACCTCTTCGATAGGAAGCCGAAGCTGTAGCAGTTGCCTTACCCACATGCTAAGGTTCCCCAAAATAATACAGGCAGCCCTGCCAGCCCTACACGTGGTAGTTACACGTGGTAGTATTCTTTACTCCTGAGCAGGGCTGTGCTAATATTCTGGACGTGCCATGCTGCATGACAGCTTCTGTTTCCTGCCTCTGAATCCTCTTGCTCTAAGCACCCAGCTTCCTTCTTCTTTTCCCCAGGCTTGTTCTTTTTTTTTAGTTCTTCTTTTTAAATTTTTATTTTATTTTAAAAAACTGACACATAATGATTGTACATATTTATGGGGTATACAGTGGCATTTCAATACATACAATATGTAGTGATTAAATCAGGGTCATTAGCATATATATCTGCTCAAAACATTTATCATTTCTTTTTGTTAGAAGCATTCAATATCCTCCTAGCTATTTGAAACTGTGTAATATATAATTGTTAACTATAGTCACCCTACAGTACTGTAGAATGCTAGAATTTATTCCTCCTATCTAGCTCTAAGTTTATATCTTTTAATAAATCCTTTTCTATCCCTCCCTTCCCATACCCCAGCCGGAGGTATTCTCTGTTCTACTTTTTACTTCTATGAGATCAACTTTTTTAAGCTTCCACTTATGAGTGAGAACTGATGGTGTTTAACTTTCTGTTCCTGGCTTGTTTTCACTTAACCTAATGTCCTCTGGTTCCATCCATGTGGCTGTGAATGACAGGATTTACTCTTTTTTTTTTTTTTCAATGCCTGAATAGTATTCCATTGTGTAGCAGGCTTGTTCTGGGTCCTCTTCCTCCTTTGTCCTCTAGGGTTCTTTCCAAGTGGATGGGGCTTTCACATAGAAAAATAGATTTTCCCAAGCTGTAAACTCTAGCAGTACTAATGTTCGCTTAAAATCAAGACAGAAGCAAAATGTCTTACTGTCCTATTATAACAGTTTGATCGTTTCTCTTCTTCCCTCCCCAAATCTTGTCTAGGAAGGGACATAGAGAAAAATGTCCTCGTATACTGACTGCTAAGATATGATGTTATTCTACCTCCTATGAAATAGCTCTCCAACCTCGAAATGTGTCTTAAGAGAAATGTTTTAAGAGAGAAGGATCATTTAAATTGAGTTTTAAAAATGAACGTACCTTCTCTTTATTGATCCCCTTGTTTCTTTGTTATTCATATTCTGTAATCTGAAAAGCTGCACAGCTGCAGGTAGAACTTGACTATAAGATCCATCAAGGCAGAGATTGTCACTTGTTTATCACTATATTCCTAGTGTTTAGTACAGTGCTTGGCAAGAGTAGGTGCTCAGTAAAAATTTAGTGAACAATGAAAGAAGCAACAAAACTGCTTAGTAGAAAGGAAATAGTCCACAAAAGTACATTACTTTTACAATAAAATAATTCACTTAACAAACTTCATTACTTGATTTCTTAGAAAGTCTTCAGTTCTTTCCTGTTGTAACCAGAGGAATTTACAAAATCTGAAGGATTTAGGATATTCAAGACAACAGTTAGAGGTGGGAATGGGGTGGTAGAAGTAGACCATTTACCACAGAGAGAAGTAATATGCTGGAGGCATAACAGTCAAGGGTCAATTAATGTAGAGACAATTGACCTGAAGGCTAAACAATATCGCCTAGAGGAGCAGGGTGGTGGAAGGACCACCTGAGCCATTGAACCCCCAATAACACCCTAAGATGTTGCAGTGTAATAACCTGTGTGCGTAATAATAGGTAAGTAGTACTTATTCGCAGTTTGCTAAAGTAAATAAGCATTTCCATTAAAAGTTGTTAAAAACTTAAACATTGTAGTGCATAAATTTTTTTTTTACTTCCAAAATGACACTATCATTCCTTGAAAGTGTGAGATAAGTAGTACTGACTAGATCCATAAAAGAGTTGATAATATGGGCCTTTTCCCATGTTACTGACATATGTCAAGTATGCAAAATGGTGAAAATGATGGATGGGGGCAAATAAAAGGCAGTATTTGTGTAGCTCAAGTTGATACTCCAAGAATTAATATCTTAATATACTTGTTGAGTACTTATGCTTCTCATTTTGCGTCTGTCTCATGAAACTCAGCATATTATAAACTGTGATCTTGAAGAAGCAATGTTTTTAATTAACTTTTTATTGAAGGATAAACATACAGGGAAGAGTACAAAGAAATATACACTCAATGAACAGTCACAAAGTTACAGTCAAGTAACAAGCATCCAGATGAAGAAAAAGAGCATTATCAGAAGAACCCCAGAAGCTCCCTGTGCCTCTTTCTCTGCCTGTCTTCCCCCTCGCCACTGCTGTAGAGCGCCACCATCCTGATGTCTAACAGTAACATGGTTTAGCTTGAAGCAATGGTGTCAACATTTTTTCTGAAAAGCTTTGGAGGTTCCTTTAATGAGCTTCAGATAAAGAGGAAAAAAGCATGACTATACATGACTATGTTAGCCTTTGTTTGACTTTGTTTCTCCTTCTGAATCATGCCTGAGGATAAGGATGATTGAATAAGATCAGAGTGCTTGGATAGTCTCAGTTTGGGTCTGTACTCAAGTCCCATGTTTGTGGAAAAGATGGATGCTGTATGTGTTCCACATTTCTGTTTTGAGGAGAAACACAATTTTGTCATGTCAACTTTATTTTCTGCTTGTATCTGGACTTCAAAGGGAATTACCAGCACTCCATTCAGACTGAAGTCCTGTCTACCTTTGATGTTGTCCTCTATGTTAATTTGTTATTAAATCAGCATGCTCCCTAGACTTATTCCCAGGATTTTTGCAAGGCAAGGTATGAAAAAGGAAGTGTTTTCTCTGCTTTACACATTTATAATTAGCTATTTAGAATTAACTATTTGGGCTTTCAGAATTAATTATTCATGAGGTATTTGACTTAATTTTCTGTACAGGACAGAGTGATCAATAAAAGGTGCTTTGGATGGAATTTTCCAAACCACTGGCTTTGTATTATAAATCTCAGCCTGTAACATTCTTCACATTCCTAGTTTGTTAGGATTTTAATCAAATTCTTATGTTTTCCTATTTATAAATTGAATTGACTCTTAAGCTTTTGCTATTTAGAGAATTGAAAGTGTGTGTGTGTGTGCGTGTGTGCATGCGCGCACATGCATGCATGCACCCCTTTCAACTGTGCAAGTTATTTTGGGGGCTTTCTGAGTCAAAAAATTTGTCAGCTCACCAGCTGTCTTGTTGCCTTGCTAACCAGGTTTTCTTAGGTTTGTCTGAGGTTCCAGTTTTAAAACTACTAAGGGTCTTGATCCTCAGCTGGGACTACTGATTAGGAGTTTATCTGGTATAATTTTATATGTTATTTACTTTGGCTAGTTTTTTTAAATTGTAAAATGTACATAATATAAAATTTACTATTTTAACCACTTTTAAGTGTTCATTCAGTTGGCCATTTGATTTTTATAACTTTTATTCATTCATAGCAGTTTTAATCAACAGCTGATGAGGATCGCCTGTGTGCCTTGAGCCAAGGTTGGTAGATCATTGGAAAATTATCAAAGAAGTGTAAATAAAGTTTGTTCTCAAGATCCCTGTTCTTAATCTCAAAGAGATTAAGCCTTCTTGTTTCATCAGAGAAGCAAGATATATGCACACCAGTTAAACATTGCTTCATGGTAGATGAGGCCCCAAATGTTCAAGGGAACACTTTGTGTAAAGATGAGACTCATTTTGGTCTTTAATCAGGGGCAGGATCTGTCTAGTTTGAGAGGGACAAAATCTTTACATACATAAAGATTTTTTTTAGTGCTTTCCACATGGCCAGGCCCTGAGCTGAATACTTTGTAACATACATAAAGATTTTTATTTTACTTCTTAATTTGCATACAGTACAATACATTCTTGGGGGAACAGTGGTGAACTAAAATAGCATACCAGCTAGTTCAGTGTTAAGCCCATTGTCTTTCACAGAATCATTTGCTTTTAAAATAAGCTGAATATTCAGATGAAGGAACATATTGTCACATAATTAATATTTTTATTTTCTTTTTTTGCCTGTAAAATAAAAAACATAATTAGTATTTTTAAAAGTCACAGAAGCCAAACTTACTTAACTTGTGATGTAGACAGTATTAAAAATTCAGATTTACATGGCAGGAGGTTAAACTTCCTATTAAAATTCTGTGCAAATATCTGTGTTCTTGCAGCATTAAACTTTTCAATATATTACCTCTTGGGAGTAAGTATTTCATTAGTGAGTTTAGAACAATTGTGGTTATAGTTTTTATGAAAAATAATTGTATAAAAATAAGCATGTAATGCAACACATATTTATTGAAATTAATCTTGAATGCCTCCTACACTGAAATCAGGTAAAAAGTTTAGAATGGGTGTGTATTGTGGATAAAGAGTGAGTTATTATTAATTCTGAATAATGTTGTCCCAATGCTTAATGGCAAAAGACGGTGCCCATTTTATTTATGTCTGTAATGGGTTAAGGATTTAAACTGGGCTACATGTAATGTCTTACAATAAGAATTAAAAAGTTCAAACCTTTTTCCTCTTCTTACATCTGCAGACAGGCAAATGTACATTGGGGACCACCATGTTCACGTGACATCAAGAGGAAGCGGAAACCAGTGGCCACAGCATCTTTGTCTAGCCCCAGTGCAGGTGATTACATGCAGTTATCATTCATTGAGCATGTACCGTGTGTCAGGCACTAAATTATGTATTTCGTATACCTTTTCATGTAATGTTTGTGATAGTGTAGATCATTTTTTTCCCACTTTACATGGGAAAACTGAGACTACAAGAAATAATTAGCCTAGTTCTCGCTGACTCTGAAGTCTATGCTTTTTCACTGTTACATGACTATCTAGAGTTTGAAACCCTATATTCCACTATCAGCAATCTCCAGTCATCTGAGCTTTTGTTTTAGCACAGACAGGAAATTAGGTCCATGTTAATGAAAGTCCAGGTGAGGTGGCAGTTCAATCAGCAGTCAGGCAGTCACACGGGGTTATTTACTTTCTTATTTTGCATATAGTACAGTACATTCTCACTGCTTTTATAAGTGGAATGCTAATATTTTATTGGTCATGACATTCCTAATTAAAAACTTTTTTAGGCTAAAACTTTTCAGGTTTTTTTTGTTTTTTTTTTTAAACAAAACTAACACTAATTGGTAGAAGCCAAAATAGTGCTTATCTTTGGTGGGGGGCGGGGCGGGCAGTGACCAAGAGAGGGCACAAGAAAACCTTCTGGGCTGTTGGCAGTGCTCCATATGATGAATTTGGTGGGGTGTATGGCTGCTTACATAGGTAGAATCTGGAGCTGTGCACTTAGGATTGATGTCCTTCACTGTGTGTATGTTATCCTTCAATGAAAAAAAGGGGAGAGTTATGTATTTATTAATATTTCTGTGAGAAAACTGGATATTGAATATGTCATTGAATATTTTATTTTCTTTAGAAAATGCTACCTATTATATAGATCAGAGCAGTTGATAGCTGAATAGAGAGTAAACCTCAGACAGATGGGGAGGGAGCCCTATCCTCTACCTTGACTTAGTAAGTTTTGGTGAACTGTGAAATTGTCCTCTTTGAGCTTCTGTTTGTGATGTCTGCTTTATGGTGGTTCATACTGGACAGTCTTCATCATAGGTCTGATGATTATAGTACCTTTTTTTTTTTTTTTTTTTTTTTTTTTTTGAGACAGAGTCACACCCTGAGCTGAACACTTTGTAAACATTATTTCACC